TAAAAGCAGTTTTTAATTTTTTATTAACCATTTTAGGGTCAAAATTATTAGACCCTTTAAGTTAATTTTTTTTAAACTGTCTCCAGAACAAACCACTGTTATACAATGACTACCCTAACCTGCCTAGTTACCCTAATTACCCTAGTGAAGCCTTTACATGTCACTTTAAGCTGAACACTAGTGTCTTGAAGAATATCTAGTCTAATATTATTTACTGTCATCATGACAAAAATAAAATAAATCAGTTATTAGAGATGAGATATTAACACTATCATGTTGAGAAATGTGTTGAGTAAATCTGCTCTCCGTTAAACAGAAAATGGCGAAAAAAATAAACAGGGGGGCGAATAATTCAGTTATATATTTATTTATTTATTTATTTATTTATTTGTATATAAACAATGCATACACACACACACACACACACACACACACACATCAGTTTGTTTGTGTGATTGCACTTGTGAAATCCCCTCACGGTCAGACACAAGTGATTTCCTGCTTTTACCGCTAACTTGTCTTCCGCTTGTGTGATTCATTCATGTTCTTTCATTTTTGTTTCAGTGTTTATGTGTGTGTGTGTGTGTGTGTGTGTGTGTGAGTGAGTGAGGCTCAGTGTGACATTCATGATAAATGGAGGAAAAGCTGTGGTGCCTGCACTGCTACATGCTGTACAGTATACACACACACATGTGCACAAATACACACACAGGTATGCACACACACATACACACACAAACACACACACTTTTGTTTTTGTGAAAAGTGGGGACATTACATAGGTTTCCATTCATTTTATACTGTCCAAACCGTATATTGTATTGACCTCACCCCACCCCTAAACCCAACCATCACAGGAGACTGTGTGCAGCTTTACTCTCTGATTAAATTCATCCTGTGGGATTTATAAGCATTTTAAGAAACGAGGACGTCACCAATGTCCTCATATTTCACCTCCTTTTTGTAATACCTGTGTCATACCCATGTCATCATACAGATTTGTGTCCTGATATGTCACAAAAACACGTATACACACACACACACACACACTTCATTTTGTAGGCAAAATAGTAATCAGGCTGTGCCCCTCTCCGAATAGTATCATCAGATATTTGTGGACAAGCACAAGTCGGCAACTCGCTCAGCAACTCTCACATGGTCACTCACTGAAGCTAGGAAGGGCTGCAGACCTGGATGGGAGATCACATGGGAAAGCTAGGCTGCTGCCGGAAGTGGTGTTAGTGGGGCGCTCAGCCTGTGGTCTGTGTGGGTCCTAATGCCCCAGTATAGTGACGGCGACTCTATAATACACAGTGAGCGCCGTCTTTCGTATGGGATGTTAAACCGAGGTCCTGACTCTCTGTGCTCGTTGAAAATCTTGAGATGTCCTTCGAAAAAGAGTCGGGGTTTAACCTCGGCATCCTGGTTAATATTGCCCACTGTCTCCTCTTCACCAATGCATTATTATATCTGCTCAGGATGCTTCCCTCTCTCAGCACAATACACACTGTAGACTGCAATTGCACTGTTTATCAGTAGTTCAAGTCTGCATCAGACAATAAAACACTGTAATGTCTAGATCAGGGCTGTCCACACTTGGTCCTAAAGGGCCGATGTCTTGCTGAGTTTAGCTCCAACTTTCTTCAACATTTTTCTAGTACATCTGGTAAGAGCTTGATTAGCGGGTTGAGGTGTGTTTGATTGGGGTTGGAGCTGAACTCTCCAGGACGCCGGCCTTCCAGGTCCGAGTTTGGACTCCCCTGGTCTGGATGATCAACCCAGGCCTTCATCATGAGCATTTCATTATGTTCCTTACCAGATCTATCAATCGTTTATGAATGTGTTTCATAGATGAGTGTGAGTATGGGTCTACATGTGATGTGTGCCTGTCTGTACATGTGAACATTCAGCAGCATAAAAATACATTGGTCTACTTCACATTAGGGTTGTCACGATAAGTCACATTTCTGATCATAATAGTGTTAATAACTCATCTCTAATAACTGATTTATTTTATCTTCGTCATGATGACAGCACATAATATTAGACTAGATATTCTTCAAGACACTAGTGTTCAGCTTAAAGTGTCATTAAAAGGCTTAACTAGGGTAATATGGTTAACTAGGCAGGTTAGAGTAATTAGGCAAGTTATTGTATGACGATAGTTACAATGTAGACTATCAGGAAATAAAAGAGCTTAAAGGCGCTAATAATATTGACCTTAAAATGATGCTTAAAAAATTAAAAACTACTTTTATTCCAACCAAAATAAAACAAATAAGACTTTCTCTGGTAGAAAAAAATATTATCAGACATACTGTGAACATTTCCTTGCTCTGTTAAACACCATTTGGGAAATAGAGGACTAATAATTCTGATTTTACTGTAAATCATTCTACAGCTCTGCAAAATATGACCACTAAAGTTCATTCATTCATTCATTCATTCATTCATTCATTCATTTTCTTGTCGGCTTAGTTACTTTATTAATCCGGGGTCGCCACAGTGGAATGAATCGCCAACTTATCCAGCACGTTTTTACGCAGCGGATGCCCTTCCAGCTGCAACCCATCTCTGGGAAAACTACTAAAGTTGTGTTTGTAAAAATAATTCAGCATTATTTTTCAGGAAAACAGCTTCACTGTTGAAAGCTCTTCTGTGTATCACATATTAAGTATTTTTTTTATGACATTTTAATGTAAATTTATGTTCAAGATGTATTTTAAATTAATTTAAACTAGTCCAGATCAAGGGAAAACTACATTTTAAGTGAAACATTTCAGCTTGTTTTTTTACAGCACTCCTATTTGACAGTGTGGTCGACATCTCTTTTTGTGTAGTGCCTCAGCCTCTATGTGTGTGTGTGTGTGTGTGTGTGTGTGTGCATATGAGAATATGAAGGGCAGTATCTTAGTCAAACTGATACTTTAGTCAGCCTATCTTTGTACTTTCTTTCTGAGTCACAGCCTACATTGTGACAACAAGAAAACCTGTCTTGACACACACATACACACAGACAGAGACACACAGACTACTACATACAACTACATTAGTGAAGATATCTCACAGAATGTTACTCATTCTACTCGTTCTTGTCTTGTGTCATGTCTGACCTGACCTCAGCCACTAAATCCTCACAGAGCCTTGTTTAAGTTTGAATCATGAGGATAATACAAAGGAAACACACCTCTGTACAAACACACAGGTCCACTGATGGGTAAAAACAACACCGCAGGATCTGTGTGTGCACAAAATAACCACATTTATTAATTAAATCAGCATTGGATGTGATTTTTAAAGTAAAGTTCTTTGAAATCCTGCTCATGACCTTTAAGGAAACACATGAAAATATGAGCATTTCTAAATAAAGATGTGTTAGATTAGTTTGGTTCAGGCTGATGCAGGAGACCCTTCAGATTGACCTCAAACTATTACTGTTCTTGAGGAATTCATCTGCATCTTAAACTGACCAGAATGAGCTCAATATGCTGAAAGGAACACCGGCTGGTGGTGATTCTGTCTTGGGGAGAGATTTGTGATCAGTTCTGAGTTAAGGTTGTGCTGCCTCCTAGTGGAATTACTTAGCTTTTGCAGGATAACATGAGCCAGATCTGTTTATCAGAAATCAGAACACGTGTAGCACATTCCCAAAGGCCAGACAGAATTACTACACTTGATATTAATTCATATTTCTATTCATTCATTATTCGTATAAATATACAGTACACAAATATTGAGGTAAAATATTTACAGTAATTTACCGCACAAAAACTATATAATTATAAAGGGTGTAGTACATTTGCAGAGGCCTCACTGACTTACTAAAGGTGAGATTTTACCCATAATTATGTTCATATTTTTACAGTACATGAATATTAAAGAAAAATATTTACAGCAATTCACTGCACAGTAACTATAATATTTTAAAGTGTGTAGTACATTCACAGAGGCCTCACTGACTTACTACAGGTGAGATTTTACCCATATTTTCAATTATATTTTTACAGTACACAAATAAAGAAGAGAAATATTTACAGTAGTTTACCGTACTGTAATTGCATTACTTTAAACGGTGTAGTATATTCACAGAGGCCTTACTGATTTATTACAGGTGAAATTTTACCCATATTTATATTCATATTTTTACAGTACACAAATATTGAGGTAAAATATTTACAGTAATTTACTGCACAAAAACTATATAATTATAAAGGGTGTAGTACGTTTGCAGAGGCCTCACTGACTTACTAAAGGTGAGATTTTACCCATATTTATATTCATATTTTTACAGTACACAAATAAAGAAGAGAAATATTTTCAGCAATTCACCGTATAGGAACTATGTAATAGGCCAAAGTCCCTAAATAGTCTGTCTGCTCACCTCTCATTGGTCTATCAGTCACCCACAGACCAAACCCATCAAGGCTCATCCTGCCACACCTATTTCTGACAAAAGCATCTACTAATTGTAAATGTAATGCAAATGTAATCCCAGCTCTACCCCTACCCAATCCCCTTCCTCCTGGTTTTGTGCATTGATGTGAAGGGATCAGGGTGTCCCAGTTCCCTGCAGGGAACTCAACGCTGCGTCTCTATTAGGAGACACTATGGGATACAATCCCTCTCTTATAACCTCCTGAAGCACAGGTGAAACCAATCTTTTTTAATTGGCGGGACCGTGTTTGTGTGTGACATCAGACCGGGAGGTATAATTCAGCTTTTTCTCTCTTCACTCAGATGCCTTTTTCGTCCTACTTACAAGCACTGATAAGGCACTACGATAAGGCATTACACTGAAACACACACACACATGCTCTCTGTTTGCATTACCATTAAAATCAATAAGGCAATTAGAGAAATAACATGTAAATCCTCGTGTTATCACCAATCAGGACACGCACGATTTATGTGTGTGCGCAGTGCCTTTGTCCAGGGGAAGGGGGACGGGAAAAAGTAGGAGTGAGATTGGGCCAAAATCAAGTCATGTAGCGTGAACTAGACTTAATAGACTCGAATCAACGACCTTTCTGTGAGTCAACAACTGAACCAGTGCAATGCCATCCCAACACATCCTCTACTGTACATTCCGGATCTATTTATAGTCTCCTACAGTTCCTCCCTCCACCGTCACCTCAGCCGCGGCTTCACTTTCTGCTTTACTCTTGGCACAAGTTTGACTTCAGTGTGTCCAAAATGAGTGATCGTGAATTCAGATTGGAGCATTCTGACTGTACGTGGAGCAGGCGGAGAGCAGACTGCATGCCCGCTGGAGGACGACTGTCAGACGCAAAGATGTGAGTCAATGGACACTTTCTGAAAAATTATGCGTATTGATATATGGTTACACGGTGGCTCAGTGGTTAGCACTGTAGCCTCACAGCAAGAAGATCACTACTTCTAGTCTCGGCTGGGTCAGTTGGCATTACTGTGTGGAGTTTGCATGTTCTCCCCATGTTGGGTTTCCTCCGGGTGCTCCGGTTTCCCCCACAGCCCAAACACATGCGCTATAGGGGAACTGATCAACTACATTGATCATAGTGAATGAGTGTGGATAAGTGTTTCCCAGTACTGGGTTGCAGCTGGAAGGACATCCGCTGTGTAAAACCTATACTGGATAAGTTGGTGGTTCATTTAAGCATGCTGTGCTTTACGGTTTAGCCGTTGCGCTCGGTGCACCTGCAGTTGAAGAAAACTGACCATGGTTGTTTTTTTCTTTGTCCAATCAAATGAAAGCAGAGGCGGGGTTTCCGTTGAGGTAAGTTCATGTAGTCAAGACGACTATGAAGACATTTAAAGAAGGAGGAGAAACTTGCGGTTGCTGGTTCGAGCTTTTTGGAGATGTATGACTTCACAAATCTTGAATATTATAATTATGACAACATCAACAGCAGCGCTCACACACAACACGCAACTGACTCAATGGTTGCATAGCAACATATAAAGCGCAGAGCACTTGTCAACAAACAAAGTGTGTGGTGTGGTGCACCTCATGTCTCAGAGCAGAAGAGTGTGTTCGAAGGGAACGGCACGTTATACATATTGCAATAAAAAAAAATCTTCCCTGCGCAAACAATCATGGGTGCCTGAAGTGTCCATCAGTTGTACTCTTCAAGATCCAAAGGGCCCTACGAAGGGGCCAGTTTTCAGCACTTTTTTTTTTTTTTGGAACGACACCTCAATAGGGGCGAAGCAGTGGCGCAGTAGGTAGTACTGTTGCCTCAATGCAAGAAGGTTGCTGGTTTGATCCTCGGCTCAGTTGGCGTTTCTGCGTGGAGTTTGCATGTTCTCCCTGCATTCGCGTGGGTTTCCCCCACAGTCCAAAGACATGCAGTACAGGTGAATTGGGCAGGCTAAATTGTCCGTAGTGTATGAGTGTGTGTGTGAATGAGTGTTTGTGGATGTTTCCCAGAGATGGGTTGCGGCTGGAAGGGCATCCGCTGCGTAAAAAACGTGCTGATAAGTTGGCGGTTCATTCCGCTGTGGCGACCCCAGATTAATAAAGGGACTAAGCCGACAAGAAAATGAATGAATAAATGACACCTAAATATGAAGACCATGTTCGTTTTCACTGCAAAGTGCCCTTCGGAGGGTGATATATCTCATCTGGAGCGTACATTGATTCTCGATGTTCTCAGTGTTACTGTTTCAACCTGGACTTGGCTGACTGCAGCACAAACAAATCAATAAACAAATAAATTAGCACCAAAAATAAAAAGGGAATAAATATAGTAAAGGCTTACACTTACATTACTATCTCGCAGTGAGAATTGTGATGATTTTTCATTTGTGAATGAGTTCACTATAAAGTCAGTGGTGAGTTGTTTGCTTCAGGTTAAAGTGTGTTTCTATTTCAAGAGCCGACCTTACAGTAGAAAGCATGAGGTCAAGTTCACAGAGAGAGTGTGTGTGTGTGTGTGTGTGTGTGTGTGCTGTATGTCCAGTGGGGCAGGTTTAGTGTCTGTGCACTTTAATAGACTCAATTCTCTCTTATACAGTTGGTCAGAATTATTAGCCCCACTGAACTAAAAGCCCCGCTGTTTATTTTCCCCCTAATTTCTGTTTAACGCAGAGCAAGTTTTTACAACACATTTCTCAACATAACAGTTTTAATAACTCATCTCTAATAGCTGATGTGTTTCCTCTTCATCATGATGACAGCACATAATATTAGACTAGATATTCTTCAAGACACTAGTGTTCAGCTTACAGTGACATGTAAAGCCTTCACTAGGGTAATTAGGCAGGTTAGGGAAATTATACAAGTTTTTGTATAATGACTATCGAAAAAGTAAGGGGATAATAATATTGACCTTATAGTGGTCTTTAAAAAAGACTCTCCAGAAGAAAAAATATTATAAGAAATACTGTGAAAATTTCCTTGCTCTGTTAAACATCATTTGTGAAATATTTAAAAAAAGAAGAAAAAATTCCAAAGGGGGCTAACATGACTTTTATTTAACAGGGTAAGTCAATCAAGAGCCAGTTCCTATTTACACAATACAATAATAATTGCAGATAATAACAAATAAAACCAAGCAAAAACTAAAAACAAGCACAGAGATCTTGTACTATTGACTGGATTGAGTTTTAAAAGGATGATAGTAGAATAAAAGTGTTGAGCTTTAAGGTCTGCTTCATACAACATACAGCATGAGTATCTAATATTCAGATTCTATATGTAGGTAGGTATATCAAACATTATGGTACTCCAAAAACTTAATATCACAAAAGGTGTACAATACAATTACCATTTTTGGAGGCCAAAATGTAAACAAATTACACAAAATACTGCTAAAATAAATAAATACATAAATAATACAAACGGTAAAGAACATGCACCATATTTATAAACACATTATACACAATACTATGTTTAAAATGTGTTGATTATTACATGTAAAGTATGTGTACATATTTAGATGTGCATATAGTTTATGTATATATTTTTAGCCAAAATGTAAATAAATTATACAAAATATTGTGTAAAAAACGTTTTAATACAAATATAATTAAATGAATGTTACAAATTGTGTAAAGCACATGTACCACATTTTTGGCTAGACTGTATACTATGGTATGTTTTACATATATATATATATATATATATATATATATATATATATATATATATATATATATATATATATATATATATATACTCTGAACAGAAATGCCAACTGACCCAGCCGAGGCTCGAACCAGCGACCTTTTTGCGGCCCACTATGCCACCTATTATTATTTATTTGTTTATTTCCTTTATTAATCTGGGGTCGCCACAGCGGAATGAACCACCAACTTATCCAGCATATTTTTTACACAGCGGATGCCCTTCTAGCTGCAACCCATCTCTGGGAAACATCCACACACACTCATTCCCTCTTATACACTACGGGCAATTTAGCCTACCCAATTCCCCTATACCACATGTGTTTGGACTGTGGGGTAAACCAGAGAACCCGGAGGAAACCCACGTGAACGCAGGGAGAACATGCAAACTCCATACAGAAATGCCAACTGAGCCAGCCGACCTTCTTGCTTCTTGCGCCACTGTGTTGCCCATTATTTATTATATATTATTTATTCATTGACTTATTTTAATGTTGTTGTCATTATTATTTCCCTTTAGATTTCTTTTAATTGTGGATCGGGCTTTGGGGTGTGAAATGTTTGCTGTGTTTAAGTGATATGTGTGTTATATACTGTGTATTATATAGTAATATGCAAACTGAATAACAGATAAATATATAGTTTAAAAAGTGTGTAATTTGTCTCCACAGTTACGAATCTCACACAGAAGAAGGCGTCACATGGACAGTGGTCAGTCCAATCATCTTCAGCTATCGAGTAATTCAGTCTGAGAATCTTCTAGATGTCAGAAACGACACTCTACTGCTGGGCCACATCAGCAGCCCTGAGGAACGCCAGACCCTTCAGAACAACAGCACACAAATAAAGCGATTTATAGTGATCGACGAAGCCGTAAACAATCTCTACGGCTCTCAAGTCAAGGCCTATTTTGACGCCAGAAAAGTGACGTACAGGATCCTTCCATTGCCAACAACTGAGCAGAACAAATCCATGACGCTGGTGACTTTAATTTTGGAGGAAATCCACAAATTTGGGATCGACCGCCGCACGGAGCCTATTATTGCAATCGGAGGCGGGGTGTGTCTGGATGTTGTGGGTTTGGCAGCTTCATTGTATCGCAGACGCACTCCATATATACGCGTGCCCACTTCTTTACTGGCGTACATTGATGCTAGTGTTGGAGCAAAGAATGGAGTCAACTTTATGGACTGTAAAAATAAGCTCGGCTCATACGTTCCTCCTGTGGCGGCCCTTTTGGATCGGACATTTCTAAAGTCTTTACCACGCAGACATATATCCAATGGGTTGGCTGAGATGATGAAGGTACACCTACTGCATGGAGGACAGCATGCTATTGGTCAGTTTTACACGTTTCAGAGAGCTTAAAGGCACAGTATGTAATTTTGGCTACTAGATATGCAACAAATACAAGCATATATTGATGAGTGTGGAATCCTGGGAGTTGTAGGCTTCATCGTCATCCTGCAGAAATCATGTAGATGACGCGGAAAGTTTTCAACACATTATCATAGTAGTATGAATAGAGCTGTACAAAAATAAAGCTTTAAAACAAAGCTAAAAACAGAGAATAAAGCATGAACATAATTGAAACTTGTTGAATAGAAATCTTACTTCAAGAAATGAAAGGCACGGTATGTCATTTTGGCCACTAGAGGGCGTTTGTTTGCAACAAACATAGGCTTATTTTGATGAGTTTAGAATCATGGGAGTTGTAGTCTTCATCATCATCCTGTACAAATCATATTGAGGATGAGGTAAAGTGTTCAACACTTATTATCATGATAGTATGAGCAGAGTAAGACTGAAAGAAGCAAAATGAGAGAAATCCTGAAGTGAATGTTTCAGTGACGCCTCTTATTCTGTAAGTTAGCATCATTCTGCTTCCCAACATCAAAAAACAATATGATTTTTCATTAGCTTCTGTATTATTATAGAATTAAGCTCTCTGACCAGCAAAGGGTATGACTCTTACTCACTGTGTTCATGATAATCTTCATAACAGTACATTTTAAAAACAGGTAAAAGCTTTAAAAATAACACCTGCATTTCATATATAGAATAAAACGTGAAAACAATTCAAACTTATGTTGAATAGAAATCTTCAAGAATCTAGAGTATCAAGAAAATAAAAAAAATGAAAAGCACAGTGTATGATTTTGGCCACTAGAGGGCGTTTGTTTGCAACAAACAAAAGTGTATTTTGATGATGGTGTGACCGAAATAGGAGAAATCGTGTTGATGATGAGTAAAGTATTCAACACTTTTCATACCAGAATGTATGAAGCTATAAGATTCAGAAAATCTTTTTTCCCTTACATTTAATTGTATAAATATATTTTAAAAATAACCTAAAGATATAGTTGTAAATATGGTTAACAATGTTAAAGAATAGCAGTTTACAGCACAACTACAGTGATAAAGATAGAGGAATCATATTGTCACATACAAGAGGATTTTTTCCAAGATTTTTCAGAGTAAAAATCTAAAAACATAATTAGCAGAGGAATATTTACGTTTAAAGTCAAATGTATTGGCCCTCCTGTTAATTTGCATATATATCTTTCTAATATTTCCCAAGTGATGTTTCTGAGATTGAGGAGTTGTTCACAGTGTTTCCTCTAATGTTTGTTCTTCTGGAGAAAGTCTTATTTGTTTTATTTGGGCTAGAATAAAAGCAGTGTTTAATAGTGTTAAAGTCATGTTAAGCTCAATATTATTCACCCCTTCAGCAATATTAGTGTTGGATTGTCTCCAGAACAAACCACTGTTATACAATGACTTGCCTAATTACCCTAACTTTACCCTAATTACCCTAGTGAAGCCTTTACATGCCACTGTAAGCTGAACACTAGTGTCTTGAAGAATATCTAGTCTAATATTATGTGCTGTCATCATGATGAAGAGGAAATAAATCAGTTATTAGAGATGAGTTATTGAAACTATAATGATTATAAATGTGTTGAATAAATCTGCTCTCCGCTAAACAGAAATTGGGGGAAAAATTCAGGAGTATAATAATTCTGACTTCAACTCTACATCTCTCTAACAGATGGCGCTGATGAAACACAAAGAGCTGTTTGAACTTCTGGAGAAAGAAGGCAGACATTTGTTGGACTCCCGTTTCCAGCCATCGTCTACAACCCAAGAAAGTGTGTGTCCGGATGCAGCGAGTGTGTGCACCAGGCTGGCCATCGAGTCCATGCTGGAGGAACTAGCCCCGAATCTGTGGGAGGACGAGCTGGACAGACTGGTGGATTTCGGACATATCATCAGTCCAGAGCTGGAGATGGTGCGTTCACGCTTATATTAGCACTTGATAGCACTTGTGTGTTTCTCAGTGTTGAAGTGGTCATAGGTAACTCAGAATGAATGGGAGAGAACAACACATCATTATTCCACAATCCTATTAGCTGATCCCTAACCCTAACCCCAACTCCAGGATGGTGTAATCAAGACTTTCAGGCCCTGTTTACACAACCCAAGCTCATTCTGGAAACGTAGCCCCGCGGACGTTTCTGGAGACCGTGATTTACGTGGCCGGAGGTTTTTTTTGAGCGAACGCTGCGGGGCGGTGTTGCCCCGCTCCGCCCCTCCTCTTCGCGCTCGCCGGCCGACGGCTCGCCTCCGAGTGGAGGGCTTTCCCGATGCAACCAGTTTGTCCGCTTAGCTCACAGCGTTGCGTCGGCGTAGCGGAGGCCCCGGAGGAGGAGGAGCCGGCCGCGGGGACGACGACCGGGATCGAGTCCGGGGAACAGCGGTTCCGGAAATCAGGTAAGACTAAAAACGGTATCAGAAAAATAAGGGATAGAACGCGGCGGGATCTGAAAACGTGGTCGAAATCAAAGACGAGGGCTTTTGCTTTTTTTTTTTTTTTTTGGACGGCTTTTGCAAACCGTCGCTCGGGTTTAGGGAAGGAGGAGGAGGAGGAGGAAGAGGAGGGCGGCTGAGTCTTCCGATCCGGCGGCTTTTCGAGCGAGAACGGCGCGGACGCGAACGGCGCGCGCTCCCGAGAGGCGCCCGAGACGCGAAAAAGCGCGCACAGCGGCCTCTCGCGGATCCGTGAAAACAAAAACCGCTCGTATACGTACCTCCCGGGACGTAAATAAAACGTAAATAAAAATTGGGATACAATACTACAATGAGCCCGGGTTGCGTTTACACTAGTGCGGTTTAGTTTTAAAACGATGTTTTAGATCATAAATGATCCGGGTCCACACTAGCGTTTCACCTAGCGTTTCTGAACATATCTCCGTCCACACTACGCCACCAAAAACTTATATCATGTGACCATTCGTGCACTCTGGGCATGCGCGTTCGAGTATAAACAGGAAGCATGTGTCTCGCTTGGCATTTGGTTATTTTTAGTCAACAAACGCCGGTTGAACAATGAACATGATGGCAAAGAAAGCAAGAGAGGTATCTTTGTGGACAGACGACGAGGTCGAGACGTTACTAAACGTAACAAATGAATAATGCACAATGGTGCCTAAAACAGACAACAGTGCAAACAACGCTCCCATTTCTGTGTCCGTGTTGTTGTTTACAGTGAAGGCTGGTCTGCTGTCTTCCGGTAGCGTTAGAGCCGTGTGTTATAGTCATGTGATAGGGGCTTGACCAATAAGGGAAGGATACGCAACGACACAAAAGCCCCAATCAGGGAGCGAATCTCAGCAGCCCCGCCTCCGTTTTCAGATGTCTCCATTTTCCCTCATCCACACTGAGACGGAGCAACAGCGCTTCAGAATGAAAACAGCCTCTCCAGCGTTTCCAAAATGCTCCATTTTCAGCGCTCGAAAACTCCGGCGTAGTGTGGACGGATGGCGTAACTGTGGCAAAACTTCAAACTAAAACGCATTAGTGTAAACGCGGCCTCAGAAAGAGGAAAACAATAGTGTTAGACTGATAATGGCAGCCAGAAGAGAGAATCAGATTTACTGTCCACCAGCAGGGTTCCCACACTCACCAACAGCAGATTCCAGGGTTTTCAAGCACTTTTCAAAGCAACATTAATTTTAAATCAAGCGCGTTTATAATTCATACCCAGCATATGTAGCACCGTGAAAGTCTTCACTGTATTTAGCATTTCACTTACACTGCCGTCTCACAGCAAGAAGGTCACTGGTTCTAGTCCTGGCTGAGTCAGTTGGTGTTTCAGTGCAGTGTTGCCAGATTGGGCATATTTCCAACCAATTGGGCAGTTTTTAACTTGATTGTGCGGGTAAAAAATGACAGACGGGTAGAGAAAGTTCAGGCGGTTTTGCCACGGCGCGCCTCCAGCCCCAGCACATGTGTTCTTACTGACATGCGCAGATGAATTGCTCAGCAAAAAAACTAGCAATGTGAGCTAACAACATCAATATGGGTAGCTTCAGGGTAATTCCATGTGTACTTTAAGATGCTGATGACCATTAAACGTGTCTTGTGAAAAGGGTTCATAAATGTGCAGATCAGCAGTCTCGAGTTAATAATCGTCTATTCTCCTTAAAACAGAAGGTTCTTCCAGCGCTTCTGCATGGTGAGGCGGTGAACATTGATATGGCTTTTATGGTGTACGTGGCTCATGAACGAGGTTTTCTGAGTGAACAGGAGAAACGGCGGATCGTGGTGTGCATGCAGAGTCTGGATCTGCCCGTCTGGCATTCACACTGCAGTCTGGAGCTCATACTGAAGTCTCTGAACGACCGACTCAAACACTCGGCTGGATCTCTGAGGATGCCTCTGCCCACAGCGCTGGGGAAAGCACGTATGTTCAAATTTGTGTGTGTGTGTGTGTATATATATATATATATGCCTAATTACCCTAACTTTACCCTAATTACCCTAGTGAAGCCTTTACATGCCACTTTAAGCTGAACACTAGTGTCTTGAAGAATATCTAGTCTAATATTATGTGCTGTCATCATGATGAAGAGAAAATAAATCAGTTATTAGAAATATTACAACTATTATGATTAGAAATGCGCTGAAAAAAATCTTCTCTCCATTAAACAGAAAATTGAGAATATAATAATTCTGACTTCATTCATTCATTCCTTTTCTGCCGCTTTTCCGGGGTCGGGTCGTGGGGGCAGCAGTCTTAGGAGAGAACCTCAGATTCCCCTTTCCCCAGACACTTCCTCCAGCTCCTTCGAGGGGATCCCGAGATGTTCCCAGGCCAGCCGAGAGACAAATTCCCCCTAGCATGTCCTGGGTCTTCCTCGAGACCTCCTCCCGGTAGGACATGCTTGGAACACCTTCCTAGGTATAGGTGTCTTGGAGGCATCTGGATGCCTGAGCCACCTCAGCTGACTTCTCTGGAAGCAGCGGCTCAACTTCGAGCTCCTTCCGGGTGTCAGAGCTCCTCACACTATCCATAAGAGTGCGCCCTGCCACCCTTAGAAGGAAACTCATTTTGGCCACTTGTATTCGAGATCTTGTCCTTTCGGTCATGAACCAAAGCTCATGAGCATAGGTGAGAGTAAAAATGTAGATTGACCGGTAAATCGAGAGCTTTTCCCTTTGGCTCAGCTCCTCCTTTACCACAACGGAGCGGTACATCGACCGCATTACTGCTGCCGCTGCACCAATCCGCCTGTCAATCTCACGTTCTGTCCTTTCCTCACTCGTAAACAAAAACCCAAGATACCTGAACTCCTCCACCTGGGGTAAGGACTTTCCTCCAACCTGGAGTTGGCAAACCACCTTTTTCCATTAGAGCACCATGGCCTCGGACTTAGAGGTGCTGATTCTCTATTCTGACTTCAGCTGAATATTTTAGGAGACACTAGTAGTTCTCACGGAGTCGATCACTGCAAGTTCATGTTGAGCTGATAGAGCTTTAGCTTGAAAGCACCAATCACTCTAATTGGTATAAAATGGGCTAACAGAATGCCTATGAGATTGGCAAATGCAGCTCTCACTATTATTATAATCTCTGTAATCTACCAAACAAACCATCTTTCCATACGTAGTGCTCCCCCTACCTAGGGTGATCCCATATGCAACTCTTGTCACAGGTCTCCCCATTAGGGTAGCAGTGATCTCCGCAGTGTCCTTCCCCTTCATGACTGGCACGCTTTCAGAATGTACTGTTGTGTTCTGGATTAGCGCTAGAGGAAATTGCTAGGCATGATTGGTTAGTAAGGTAACAAGGGCTAGGGATGTTGGATGGTTGCGCCTTCAGTGGTGCTTTGGTGTTCATGCCAATCGCCTGGCACTCGGCACCCCAAAGCACATAACGGGTTCAGGTGCGTAAGATATTTTTCCCTAGTCAATCATCTTGACATAAACTTTTAGTGATTGACTGAGGGGGAACGTCTTGGTTACCTACGTAACCCTCTTTCCCTGGAGGAGGGAACAGAGATGTTTATGTCCCCCTGCCACAGGAGCTGAATCCACCATTGCTGAATGCAGGCAGGTTCAGCTCTTCAGTAATTAGTCTGATGAGCTCCTCTCTCAAGCAGCCTTTTTTACTCCTGATTGGCCGATTTTATACAAATTACAGTGATTGGTGCTTCTAAGCAAGTCCCCTAGTCGTCCAACTCAACATAAGCGTCTCTGTTCCATCTTTAGGGAACGAGTGTTACGTACATAACTAAGACCTTTTGTTTGATTGTTTTTCTCATCTCCTACAGGAATCTTCAATGACATAGAAGAAATGGTCGTGTGTCAGGCGTTCAAGAAATGGAGTGAAGAGCTCTGCGAGAAACCGTAATACTGGAAATGCAAATGTATCAACCCAATGAATGTGAACCCGAATAAAACACACCACCAGGAGTTGTGAAAACCACTCAGTTTTATTTCAACGTCTTGTAACATTTTCATTCCCAATACACTTGTCAAGCTACAAACTTTCCTCAGAAAGTGCTTTAGGAATCTCTAAAAACAACTCTTGTACTGAAAGGTGACTTTTCCCAACAGGTTCCAGATTGAGGTGAAGTCGTATTCGCACATTCAGACTTTAATAAAATAGGAGAGAAGAATTTAAAAAGGAGAATACAGATTATTATAGTGACACATTCCCAACCCAAGCTCATATTGAAAGCGTTGCCCCACCGACGTTTCTAGAGACCGCGATTTACAAGGCCGGAGGTACGTATGGCTGCATTTCGTTTTGTCAAGCGAACGCTACAGCACCGCTCCTCTTCGCGCTCGCCAGCTGACGGCTCACCTCCGTGTGGAGGGCTTTCCCACCGCAACTAGTTTGTCCGGTTAGCTCGTCGTGTTACGTCGGCAGAGCGGAGGCCTGGAGGAGGAGGAGCCGGCCACAGTAACGACCGTATTCGAGTCTGGGGAAAAGCGGTTTCAGAAATCAGGTAAGACAAAAAACAGAATCCAAAAAATAAAGCGAACGAGTTCATAACAGGGGAAAATGCGGTAAAATCCGCGGTCAAAATCGGACGAGGGGTTTTCTTTTTCTGGACGGCTTTTGTAAATCGTCACTTGGGTTTAGGGAAGCAGGAGGAGGAGGAGGGTGGCGTCAACCGTCCAGTCATTCAGTCAGTCAGCCTCCGGTGGCTTTTTACGATAGAACAGCATGGGCGCGCGCTCGCGAGAGGTGTTCGAAACGCAAAAAAGCATGCACAGTGGCCACTCGCGGATTCGCAAAAACAAAAACTATACAAATACATACCTCCCGGGACATATTTTACAGTCTCCAGAAATGTCCGCGGGGCTACGTTTCCAGAATGAGCCTGGGTTGCACATTCCCTATATTGTTTACCACATTACTTTGAATATCGGCTCTGAAGAATGACTTCAAAACAACATTTGCACTATTTCATCGACTGTCAGCAATGTTCTACTTTGACAGTCATTGGTGATTAGTTGATGATTTGGTGTCAGAAGTGTCTTATATGAAAGGCGCGAAGCCCTCTAGATTTTGCTGATTTGAGCTCAATAAATCTGATTATGTCTATAATAAATAATCTATAATAAATCTGACTCTGCTCAGACTAAAGTCTCATCACTGAACAGAAATAATGTCCAGTATAGAATATAAAGTCCTGCTGCAGTGGAGACAGAATGAATATTGTGTCTGACTCCATCATGAGCTTGGAGGACTGCATCCATACATCTCTGACATGACTCACATCACTGATTAATAAAGTCATCTGGAATGAAGAAGAAAGCCTTCAGCAGGATCCCAGAGTTCATATTTAACACCTCCTCCTTCATCAGCTTAATAATGTTGATGTCTGGTGACTGGGCTGGCCAATTCTGGAGCACTCTCTGCTTTCAGGATCTTTGATGTGGAGGCTGAAGTATGAGCAGGAGCGCTATCCTGCTGGAGAATTGTCCCTCTCCTGTGGTTTGTAATGTAATGGGCAGCACAGATGTCTTGATACCTCAGGCAGGTGTGTGACTGCACTAATACTTCTCTGACAAGTCTGAATGTGCGAATTTAAAACCAACTTCACCCCAACGTCTTGAACTCACAAGCTTCATCAGGAAATTCAACCAAGCTGTTGTAAGTCCTTGCTTAAATAAAGTTTGGTTAAGCTTCAATAATAAGACACAAAAGTATTTAAGAAAATGAAACAAATAAAACAATCTTTAGAGCCAAGACACTCTTATAACATCGCTTTAGCCGAAAATCACCTTTCATTGACGTCACACATGCATTCGTACAGGAGCCTGTGCTTAACCTGTTACCTGATTGTCTGAATTATTGCTCAGAAAAGGAAATTGCAACAGCCAGTTTTGCTAAACAAATCCACAATGAGAGATACGGAACAGTTTCACTGCATATTTAGACTTCACTCGGGATTTGGCAACATATTTTAAGTAGTCAACACTGTAACGTTACATTCAGAGGACGACTTTCAGTAGTTTCTAGGCAAAGTATATGATAGTTTGTGTGAATTATACAAAATCATTTCCTTGCTGACATGTTGATCCAAACTAGGGAAGCTCATTCGTGCTGCAGAATAAATAAAAAAGTAGATTGCCAATTGGGTTGGTGAGATAATCTGATTTTAAAGCAAAATTTCTTCCCCCACTGTCAGATTATTTAGCGTGTTTTAAGGAGAAGCTCACTTCCTTTTGACTTATTATTTCTGAAAACAAGACTACATGTATTGCTAATCTAGAAAATGCTTCCTGATTTAAGAACTTGTAAATATTTGGACTAGAAACGAGACAAAAACTCTTAAGTGAGAACATTTGTTTTTGCAGTGACGTTGCTCACTAGAGAAGCTCATTTCTGCTGCAGAATAAATATGAAAAGCGTGACTTTTTATCCCAAAAGATGGACTTTTTTTCATGTGACTGCATTCAAATCTCACAACATTGACTTCTCCTTTCAGACCTATGGGTTTTAGGAATATTTTGAGTTGACATCTTCCAGTCATGAGCTAAAAAGTCTTTATGCATTTCAAGAGTTTACATTGCTTTTAGCAGGTTAGGCATGCTGTCCCTAGAGAGAGAACCCTGAACTTGGAGATGATTGAGATCAGAGCTCCCGCCTGGTCAGTTAGCATATAAGGGGTGTCTGAGATCAGGAAGGTCTCCAGAGCTGCCCCTAGTAAAGGAGGAGATGCGGTGGAAGGGGGAAGATTAAGCTGCGGTCACACTGGACTTTTCACCCCATAGACTTCCATTCATACGCATGTGAATCTGTCAGACCGCAAACGGAAGCTCGTGTGACACGTTCTGCAGTTTTGGAAAGTTCAAGCTGCAAAATCCGTTCAGGTGACTGCATGAGGACAATCGAATATCAAAACATGACCTCTCTGTACAGAAATTCAAAATATGGACCAATCGCTCACTCTTTTAATGACTGATCATGTTTAATCCTGACATATTTTTACAGCTCCATATGACATACGACGAATTTTGCATTCTCAAACTCGAGTGCAGGGGTGGCCAACCCTGTTCCTGGAGAGCCACCTTCCTGCAGATTTCAGTTGCAGCCCGTATCAAACACACCTGCCTGTAATTATCACGTGGTGTTCAGGTCCTATTTAATGGGTTCAGGTGTGTTTGATATGGGTAGCAGCTGAAATCTGCAGGAAGGTGGCTCTCCAGGAACAGGGTTGGCCACGCCTGCTCTAGTGTGACCGTGGTATGGTGAAATCGGTCTATTTATTGTAGGCTTGAATCAATCTGATTGGATTATTGCTGATTACAGATGAAGGACAAGCCGCGATCAACCATATCACGTGCTCCTCTCGAAATGAGTTTATAAAACTTCACTTGTCAGATGAAGTCGGGATAAATTGTTGATAAAAATAGCCATGTGAATTTACTGTAGGCATGGCCTAAGAGTTACGAAACTGCCTATGTAGAAATAAAGGCAGAAAACAGATGAATGCATGCAAAAAAAAAAGCATGTAAACCTGCAATTGCAATAGTCAGAATTGTGAATTTAAAACTCTGAATTTTAAGAAAACAGTTAAAAAAGTGAGTTTTTATGTACATTATATACAGTTAAAGGTAAAATTATTCAGACATTTGTATTATTTTCCAAATATTTCCCAAATGCTGTTTAACAGATTTTTTTCAGCACTAAATTTTTAATATATTTCCTCTTCATCATGATGACAGCACATAATATTAGACTAGATATTCTTCAAGACACTAGTGTTCAGCTTACAGTGACATGTAAAGGCTTCACTAGGGTAATTAGGGTAAAGTTAGGGTAATTAGGCAAGTCATTGTATAACAGTGGTTTGTTCTGGAGACAATCCAACACTAATATTGCTGAAGGGGCCAATAATATTGAGCTTAACATGACTTTAACACTATTAAACACTGCTTTTATTCTAGCCCAAATAAAACTAATAAGACTTTCTCCAGAAGAACAAACATTAGAGGAAATACTGTGAACAACTCCTCAATCTGAGAAACATCACTTGGGAAATATTGGGAAAATAATGTAAATTTCACAGAAGATAAAATAGTTTTCAACTGTATATGTATAAGTAAACATCAGTCTCCATTCAGTTGTACAGAACTCATATTGTGAACGTAATATTGTGTGACATGATAGAAAAATAATCTGCAGGTTTGGATCAACACGAATACAAGGAAATATCTGACATATTTCCGTCGAACTATTGCTTGAAGTACCATGTTTGTAATGTAAGGCACTTGACAGTGATCTGACTAAGACAGCTAAACTAACATCTTCCCATCAACACATCTGAACGTTACCTTTGCATAGTTCTATCAAACAACACTTAATATAGTACCTACGTGATCATAATAGTGGCACAAACTGGATGCTACGTCAAGGCAAACATCAGTAGAAATACACAGTAACAGCTTATTATTATTATTATTATTATCATTAGAAACACACCATGTAGGAATTATTATTAATAAAAAAACACAAGTGTTAGAATAAAATGTAAAATATGTATTAAAATGTTCAAGGTATGACCGTTCTTCCAGTGTCTTCGCTAATATAAAACATAAATAAAAATCCCAGATCTTTCTCCTTAATCTCCTAAACATGTGGAAATGCTAATTATAAATGTGTTTTAAGGGTAATACACTGGAGTCTGAAGATTGACACGTTATTCCTTTAGTCATTAAAGATGTGTTAAGAAGTTATTTCACATTCTTATGGATTAGTTCGTGCTGTGCGCTGTGTGAAAACACATCCGCTGGGTGAGAAATGCATATGAGGTGAGGAGCGCTTGCATAATCGTATACTGTAGGCACGGCATTTGACCTCGAGAACGGTTCTGTCTGCAAGGTTTGTCTCTGATAAATATTGCTTATTGCTTTGCACATTCGGTCATATGGATAAGACCTCCTTCAAACATAAATAAAGGAATACTGCCTTCGGTTAGTAATTGAAAATAAAACATGATTTAGGGGCAGATGCCCCTATAGCAAACATACTTCATCCAGAGCTCTTCAGTTTCTGTGCGCTTTTCATCTGGAAGATTTGATTTGATTAAAAGTTGCATAAAGATTCAGCGATGTCAGACTCTCAACAGATTTTGCAATATTTACAAATGAGTTATGATTAAATTAGTTGTGCTAAATTCTTTCTTTACTTAGAGATTTTGTCTTGTTTTTAGTCCAAACTTCTACAGATTCTTAAACTGTTTTATAGACAAGCTAAAAATATTGTCGTTTTTAAAAATAATGAGTCCAAACGAAGTGAGATTTTCCTTAAACAAGCAAAATAATCTGCCAGTGAGGTAAGCAGAATAATCAATGTCAAAACAAGATTGTTTTGCTTAATAGTATGCTATTATTTACTTAAAACAAGACAATGGCTGCGTCCGAAACCGCATACTTCCATACTATTTAGTACGCTAAAATCAGAATGCGAGCCGATTAGTATGTCTGAATTCATAGAATTCGAAAATCAGTATGCGAGAAGTACCCGGATGACTTCTGGGCGAGATTCTGAAGTGCGCATTCCATGCACCCTGCGCTATCCCATGATGCCCCGTGAGAGAATTCATGAATGGAAGTGATCGACGCAACTGACGCTGGTAGGTCACGTGACTATGACAAAATGGCGAATGTAGTACGTCTGAATTCCATTCATACTTTTCACATTCATACTGTATAGAACGCACTTTTCTAACGGCTGAGTAGTACGTTTAAATTCAAATGCAGTACCTACTGAGTAGTAGGCGGTTTCGGACGCAGCCAATATGTTTAGCTTGTCTAGAAAATGCTTATTGAGCTTGATTTTTTAGATATTCATTCATTCAGTTTCCGTTTTAGTCACTTTTTTAATCCAGGGACGCCACAGCGGGATGAACCGCCAACTTATCCAGCACATGTTTCACGCAGCGACTGCCCTTCCAGCTGCAACCCATCTCTGGGAAACATCCACACACACTCATTCACACCCATACACTATGGACAATTCACCTGTACCGCATGTGTTTGAACTGTGGGGGAAACCGGAGCACCCGGAGGAAACCCACGCGAACGCAGGGAGAACATGCAAACTCAGAAACACCAACTGACCCAGCTGAGACTCGAACCAGCGACTTTCTTGCTGTGAGGCGACAGCACTACCTACTGCGCCACTGTGTTGCTGATTTTTTAGATATGTGGACTAGAAACAAGACTTAAACTCTAAGAAAGAAAAGCAGCGTGGTAAATGAAAACAATCTTGTATTTACTCTCATATTGTTGGAAACCTGGGCCCGACTGTGAATGGCCTTTAAATAAAACGTATAAATGATCATAGGATCTTAATGTTGCGTTCTGTCCTGCAAAAGCATTGTAATCCAAGTAGCACTTGAAAATCAAGTGCAGTTTAAAAATTACTAACGTAAAGCTATGAGAACGCCTACAGTACAGGACAATCTGCAGATTACACCCTGTGTTCATCATTCAGTCAATCATCTTCCTTCAGCTTAGTCCCTTTATTCATCAGGGGTCTCCACAGCGATGTGAACCGCCAACTTGTCCAGCATATGTTTTATGCAGTGGATGCCTTTCCAGCTGCAACCCAGCTTTGGGAAACAACCATACACACTCATACACTCTGGCCAGTGTAGTTGATCAGTTCCCCTATAGCGCATATGTTTAGACTGTGGGGGGAACCGGAGCACCCGGAGAAAACCCACACCAACACGGGGAGAACATGCAAACTCCACACAAAAAAGCCAACTGACCCAGCTGGGACTCGAACCAGCAACCTTTTTGCTGTGAGGCTACCTTAGCCACCGTGTTGCCCCAACTGTATTCACGCAATCATAACTAAATGTTTTGGTAGTGCCATGTTGTACAGTAAGTCTGTATAAGTATAGGTGCTTTATATAGACATTTCTTGATTGCTAATTCGATGCCGATTATTGGGTTTAACATTAAAGTTATGACTCCATATTAAGTTTTATTTCGGAAATTAATCAGCAATTAACACATAGAATGTGTCTTCGCACATCAAAGTTTGGGAAATAATGAGTGTTCGTAATATTTGAGAATGCTCTTAAAGGTGCAGTATGTGTTATTGACACCTAGTGGTTGAACTAGGCATTGCGGCCCAAATTTAAAATATGTAGCGGGTTTTTTTACACTGCCACTCCAAAAATGATGATGACTCCAAACTAATGTTGAAATCTGATCAACTAATGTTCATGTAATATTGTAATAGTTGCAAGAAACACCACCAAGTACACAAATCTTTACAAATCTGCGACTCATTTCGGGGGTTGCTGCTGAGGTCACATTTACATATATAGAGGATTGAAATGAAATACGCATGTTTTCCGCAAAGGCAACCTGGAGTGCTGAAATATAATTGGCTGAACTGGCAGTGGGCTGCTTATAGAGACCAAAACAAAGATACTCTCAAAGCAGAACAACTGACTTCAGCATTGTTTTTCAGATGAACGAATATGTCCACTGAGCATGTTTCTGGAACATCTGCAAATATATGATGGTATTGTTATGCTTAAGAAGAGTCAAAAATGTACATACAGCCGCTTTAACGCCCCATACACAGGAGGCTTCAGCGTCAACGCTTGACTGAAGGCGTGTCTGAAGTTGGGGCTGACGCGATCGTCATAGCAGCGTCAGCCAATGAAATTCAGTCAGCAATAGGCCACTGTCTGAGCTGGTGTATTTGCATACAGCGATCTGATTGGCTGACGCTTCCGTCAGTGCTTGAAAAGTTGAGCTAGTCTCAACTTCTGCAGCGAGCAACACCTCTGAAGCGGCGCCGACGGATGAACAATGCAGTTCGGCAACGCCTGATGTCATCTATTCAAAGTGAATGGGAAGCGTTGACGCTGGCACCCCGTGTGACAATTAAATCCATTATCACTGGGATGTTTTTGTGACATCATCTTTGATGAACTGGCTAACGTTATGATATGTCATTGACATGATTTTTCAATAAAGTTTAGAACAACACGAGAGTAAATACTGAAATTTCTTTCACATTTGAACTAGTGCTGCTCTTTATATTCCAGAGGTTTGCGTTTACTAAATGCATTGAGATATTAGCTGTTGATTAATATGTTCATGGGAAGCGTAATGCTTTAGGCGTTCCTTTTTACAAGGAGATATATAAAGCTATGTACATATATGAATATAAAAAAGCGAAATATTCGTCTAAACTGTGCGCAGACGTGCTACTGTACAAGCGAAAGAATCACCATTCAAGTGCACTTTTTAATGACCCCAAAGATGATTATATTATATTCTAAAGACACTTTTTTTTTGTCTATCGGATACTGACCTTGATAATTTGATATTATGCACGCATCTCAATTATTAGGACACAATTTGGGTGGACAGGTTAAAAACAGTAAAAAAAAAACGAGTGTAAACATAAAATAACGGACCCTTTTCACAAGACGCGTTAATCAGTAACTCACGATTTTTAAAAATGTATGATTTGAAAACATCTTTGTAGGTTTATATATATATTTATGAATGTATTGTATTACCTTTGCATCAATTTAAAAAATGACGAATTACCGCTTATGTGAAGCCTTTCTAATGCAGCGTGTACGGAGGTGGGACAGTAAATCTGACATGATTCTCTCTTCCGGCTGCCGTTATCAGTCTCACACTATTGTTTTCCTCTTTCTGAAAGTCTGGATAACACCATCCTGGAGTTTTTCCCTCATTATTTCAGCTAATAGAATTGTAATGCTGCGTTCACACCAGACGCGAAACGCTTGAGTGATTTACATGTTAAGTCAATGCAAACGCGCGAATAGACATCCTGCGGCGCGATACACGCGGTGCGAATTGATCGTTTTGCGCGTTTGATTCGCTTAATATGCGATTCGTGCGAATCGCTGGAGAAAATCTGAACTTCAGCGGACATTCGCGCCGCGTTAACCAATCAGGAGCTTGCTTTTGTGGGGGCGTGATTGTGACGTAGAACCTGTTGATGGTGTCCAGGGGGAAATCCTCCAGGCGACACCCACAACAAGTCATTAAACTGGGCTGGGCTAAGTCAGAGGCACCTCTGAAAGCCTCCGTCATCCAGGTTCAGTTTCAGGATTAGTTGATGAGCTCACAGAGCTGGATGCACCTCTGAAGAATCTAGTGGACTCAGACACGACCCTAAACGTATCAACGCTGTTTTTCAGTCTTCATAAAGCACATTAACACTGTTATTTTCTTCATAAAATCCATGTTAGCATTTTAGCTACGAAGTTACAGTCACTGGGCAGACTGAAGCCCCGCCCATCACGCGAATCCACGTCTGTTCTGAAGTGATTTTGAGACGTGCGAATGAAGCGGATTTGACGCGCGAATGAATCGAGTAGACTCAAATGTTCACATGGCTATTTACGCGCGAATATCGCAATTTATCCGCGCGTTCCGCGTCTGGTGTGAACACAGCATTAAAAGTGTGTTGTCCTCTCCTATTCATTCTGAGTTAACTATGACCACTTCAACACTGAGAAACACGCTAATCTGAAAAGGGTCCATGTTACTTTGCACTTAATAAAACAGCTTCCTCTTTATCACCTTTTTGTCCCCGTTGGCACTAACAAGCATGCTGGTTCTCCTCCATGTTCATGCTGTCTTTGTGCGTGCTTTCGTTGGAGGCGGCGGAGATAAGAGACTCATTTGTGGCTCCAGACGTCAGTGTTTCGTCCATCAGGATGTCGTCCAGTTTGGCGGCGTGTGTGTCTGAAAGGTGTGTGTCGCTGAAGCTGATTGTGCCGTTGTTCAGGTCCAGGGTGCTGGAGCGGCTCATGTCGGCGCAGGACGGGTGCGCGTGGGTGCTTGTGTACATATCCTGACTGCAGTCGCCCAGTAGTGGCTCCTGTTTGATGGCCCGCGCCGCGAGTTCTGATGCACACAGAGCTGATGAAGCCATGGCCAGACCGTGAGCTCGAGCCTGAATCTCCAGCTCCTGCACACACAACAACACACATACACTGAGAAACGTGCTCTTACAGAACTTCTGAATCTTTGTGTGCTTTTGGGTCGTTTTCATCAACTCTGGGCTGATTTTAAGTCTTAATTTAGCCACAACTTATTCAGTAAATGCAATGACAAATCTTATTTTGACACATATTTTGGGAAAATGTTTTGAAAGCGTAAATCAACGATACACTCTGGGCAAATTGACTCCCCTTTCATTATGTTGAGGGCTGTTTTTGCCCCATTGACTTCCATTATAATTACATTTATTAATTACAAAGCCATCAGACTATAAAACTGTGCTGTCTTAACTGTTGCTGGTTTTCTCAGTTGGAAAGGGGTAACATTTCTCATTTTTACTGTTAAATTGTAAGTAAGTAAAAACATCTTATTTCTGTCATGACAACTCTCGGAGAGATTTAGTATGGCAATGAATATGCCAGTTTATTAGGTACACCTAACTAGTACCCGGTTGGACCCCTTTTGCCTTCAGAACTGCTTTAATTCACTTCATGGCAGCGATTCAACAAGCTACTGGAAATATTCCTCAGAGATTTTGCTCCATATTGTCATGATAGCATCACACAGTTGCTGCAGATTTGTCGGCTGCACATCCATGATGCCAATCTCCCGTTCCACCACATCCCAAAGCTGCTCTATTGGATTGAGCTCTGGTGACTGTGGAGGCCATTTGAGTACAGTGAACTCATCGTCATGTTCAGCAGTCTGAGATGATTGAGCTTTATGACATGCTGCGTTATCCTGCTGGAAGTAGCCATCAGAAGATGGAGACACTGTGCTCATAAAGGGATGGACATGGTCAGCAGCAATACTCAGGTAGGCTGTGGCGTTGATGCTCAATTGGTACTAATGGACCCAAAGAAAATCTCCCCCACACCATTACACCACCACCACCAGCCTGAACCGCTGATACAAGGCAGGATGATCCATGCTTTCATGTTGTTGAGGCCAAACTCTGACCCGAGCATCCGAATGTGTCAGCAGAAATGGAGACTCATCAGAGCAGGCAACTCTGTGATGCTCGTCCAAAACTTCATGCATTGGGTTAAATTAGGGCTGTCCAGTCTCTGTGTTCAGTCCGTTACAATCATTGATAAAACCCAGACAGGCTGTCAGTCAGCATAATACAGTGAGTGGAGCAAAGCGCATCAAATGATGGGTAATTAAAAGGGAAAAGAATAAAAATAAAATAGATAAATGTATACTTTTATATTAGACACACATCTGATGCTTGTCTTTGCAGCAGCTCCACGTCCATAACTTCACGCATTGGGTTAAATTAGGCTTTACAGTCTCCTTTACTTCCACTGTATCTGTTCAGCTGAGGGAACTCAACCAACCCCGTGATGTCAGACACAGCAACATTCCAAGAAGGCTGCGCCCTAGGTCTAAAATCTATAGTAAAACACGTCGTTTTCTGCTAAATGGTTACATTAATCGAGTTTGTTTAATGTATTTTAATTAAAGTGCAATCCAATGCACAAAATAAGGGACACTTGACTGAGTGCTTCATTTCGCTTTCAAGCTAATTTCAAGATAATGAAAGGCTACCGTAAAAGCTACCGTAAAGGCTACCGTAGCTCAATGATTAACTGTTATTTCTTTTATACAAGGAAGATTATATACAGTATACAGTGTTATTTGATTGTATTATCAGTTTATGTACTGTTAATACATGTAAAACCTGAAAAGCACTGTTTATTTTAGTATTATCTGTCCGGTATTGTATTCATTTTGTATTGTATTTTGCGTGAACATTATTTTTCTTCGACAATGCATTTTATATACATAACTGTAGGAAAACCGTGACCCTAAAACCAAAACCCGAGCCATGAGAAGTGTGTATTGTTGCCCTGACCTGTATCCTGAGCAAGAGGTTGCGGTTTGTGTGCTCCAGCTTCTTCTGCCGGTTCTCCAGCTCTTTAGTGCGGTGCTGCTCTCGCTGCAGTTTCCTGATGTAATCCACCGACGCCTTCAGAATCGTGCCCTTGTTCCAGCGCATGTCCCTGAGGAGAGCACACACACGCACCTCAGCTGACCACAGTGCATCTGAAGCTATAACAGCATGTATTTATCTCTGCTTCGTGTGCTAATCCGACAAAATACTGTGCTTACGGGTCGTTTGATTTGGGAATCAGAGTGCCCAGTTCTTTGATTCGATCATTAATGTTGAATCTCCGTCGCCTCTCGACTGAAATAGATGAAACGTAGGTAACATTACACACTCAGAGTTACACATTTCAGGAACACTGCACTTCTTGTATTTACTAACAATGAATAATTTTGTACAGCATAGTTAAAAACAACAGTTGTGCTTGTTAACATTAGTTAAAGGGGACCTATTATGCTGTTTTAATAAGATGTAAAATACATCTGTGATGTCTCTAGTATGTGTTTGTTTGGGTTTGAGCTGAAAATAGCACACTAATAATGTTCTCTAGCTCTCTGACCCTTTCAGGCTTGATTGTGGTGTTTTGGTGACTGTCGCTTTAAATGCAAATGAGATTGTGCTCTTTTCAGAAGAGGGCGGAGCTATAGACGCCTGTGGCAGATTCAAAACTCTAACGACAGACGGCTGCTTCTCACTCAGGGCTGCTGTTGGAGATGGTCACTAGTGGGCGGGGCTTTCATCCTGATGACGCGTACAAAGGGAGAATGTCAATCACAGTGTTTCTGCAGGCTGTTTTTGTCAAGTCTGATTATAAAAAAGTAGAGTTAATTAATGTTGACCATTAGAGGCTGGAGATATTCACACACTGCTGACACACAACTGTGTTTAAATCCCTTAGAAACGTGATGCACAGTGACTTAACATGAGCTAAATAGCAATAACTAATGCTAACAAAGATGAATGAATACAATAATTGTATTAATAATAGTTTGTTCATTAGTAAATACATTATCTAATAGACCACTATTTCAAAGCGTTACCCAAAATTAGACAAAATCACATTGACAGTAATCAGTCTAAACAGAAATGTCTATGGGGTGCAGACAATATTATCATTTCTGATTGATTTTACAAACAGTAATGTAAAAACTAGAGGTGGAAGAAAGAAATCGATGCATTTCAAATCATTCTTGAATGATTCAGAGGTTTTAAGAATGGATTCAGAATTATGAGAGAAAGATTCATCTTTTTTTTAAGAATTGTGATGCATCGATTTATTAAAATTTCTTTTTACAGAATCGATTCTGTAATTAAATCGGATTGTGGAGGCATGAGCACAAGCTACTAACAGAAAAATAAGAAGAAGAATTCACAGGCACGTCAATGTACAGTTGAAGTCAGAATTATTAGCCCCCCTGAATTATTAGCGCCCCTGTTTATTTTTTCCCCTAATTTCTGTTTTATGGAGGGAAGATTTTTTCAGCACATTTCTAAGCATAATAGTTTTAAAAACCTATATCTAATACTGATTTATTTTATCTTTGCTATGATGACAGTAAATAATATTTTATTTGATATTTTTAAGACACTTTTATACAGCTTAAAGTGACATGTAAAGACTTCACTAGGTTAATTAGGGTATCTGGGCAGGTTAGGGGAATTAGGCAAGTTATTCTATAACAGTGGTTTTTGCTGTAGACTATCGAAAAAAAAATAGCTTAAAGGGGCTAATAATTTTGTCTCAAAATGTTTTAAAAAAAATGTAAAACTGCTTTTATTCTAGCCGAAATAAAACAAATCAGACTTTCTCCAGAAGAAAAAATATTATCAGACATACTGTGAACATTTCCTTGCTCTGCTAAACATAATTTGAGAAATATTAAAAAAAGAAAAAAAAATCGAAAGGGGGCAAATAATTCTGACTTCAACTGTATGTACCGTGTCAAGTCAGAAAAAATAAAACAAATTTAATACAATATAAAAAATTTTGATTGATGTGTAGCAAAACTTTTATTCATAAACTTTTTAAAATCAGTTGAAAATGACTTTGATAACCCTTTAAAGCATATAGATATTGCTCAACTTTGTTAATAAAATATAGAGTGTGCAGAAGACAGAGCAGAAGACAAATCATTCTGGAATCAGACCATGACACCCAGAATCAGAGCAGGACTGGATGGTGAAGTCCCTATAAAGATTCCCACCACTTGTAAAACAAAAAAAGTAACTCACTTAAGTTGTGGTTGTCCTTTTTTTGCCGTTCCTTTGCGAGAGCCCGAACTTCTACCTCTAAAACAGACAAAGAAGAGTGAGAAAAGAAACGATTACTTGAAATACAATTTAATTATCCAATGTAATTAGCTTCAGTTCTGTCGCCACATTTTCTTAACTCATGCAGAGCAGTTTTAAAAGTTTTCTTCCCAACATTAAGGCGTCCAATGATGCAACAGACATCTTGAATTTATTCAGCGTTTTCCCTTATTTAATCTACAGTACACCTTGCACCAGATATTCAGCGAAGAAATAAAATGTCAATCTTTTATCTGTGCTCTGCGTCTCTGTAATCTGATTCAGATCATTTACCCTTTGTGTGTGTGTGTGTGTGTGTGTGTGTGTGTGTGTGTGTGTGTGTGTGTGTGTGTGTGTGTTGTTTGTAATTCCTTAAGTTTGTTAATTTGGAGACTTGAAGTTTACACAGCATGAAGTTTTTTGAGAATGCTGGGTTGGGTTTAAGGGTAGGGTTTGCTATAGAATATACAGTTTGTACAGTAGAAAAGCATTGCTAATAAAAGATCAAGTCCTCATAAAGATATCTGTACAGATGCGTGTAAACATATACACATACATCAATGTGTCACTTGCCCATGAACATTTCCTGTTAGATATCAAACAATTTCATAACGGTAACAAGAGGCAATTCAATCACTTAATATTAAAACAGCTATCGTGGCATTGTTTATCAATATGTGGCTCTTTGTGTACTCTGTAGAAATTAAAAATGGGAAATAGGTTAGGAGCACTGTTTTTCTTTACATCCCTCAGAATGATCTATACAGAAGTTTCAGACATGATGCCACAGAAAGAGAGAGATGTTTTCCATCCATTGAAGAATCCAGAAAATCATTGATTACTGATTTCAACATTGATAATAATTAGACAGAATTCATATTATAATGCTTTCTGAAGGATTATAATGATACTGAAAATTCAGCTTTGGATCACTGGAATAAATGACAATTTCCTCAAATACAACACACTCATTTAAAGCAGTAAACAGTTTCTCACGTACCCACAGGGAAGCCTTCAGGCCTCTGGTAGCTCTCGAACTTGCTGCAGGAGCTGGGCTTGTCCATCATGTGCATCAGGGCTGGAGATGGAGTCACTGTACAGCACATGAACAAATGTTTTGGCATTACAGTGTGTAATGCAACTGTTTTCTGAACAACCAGTAAACACTGCATTGGAGAGAGGCAATATGGAGTATCCACAAACTAACATGCATCTTTAACAAAGCTGTCAAAACGCACAGCATCCAAAACATCTGCTTTACAAAAACACACCAGCCTGTGAACATTTCTTGAGGAAAGGGGAGCAAAACAACATAAAACAGCGCCATCTTGTGGACGTTTCTTAAGAAAAGTGCAGTGAAACGTACGAGAAGCCACAAATTTGACAGAAACAGTCGCCAGTATCACATGCCTGCAAACAAGTACGCCCACTTGAGGACGTTTCTTAAGAGAAGAGCAGCACAGCACACTGAGCAAATATATTTCAGGTTCTGCAGATGAAATCATGCATTAGGAATGAGCCTCAGTGTTGTTGTGTTGTACAGTAATTACAGTAAAGTGACTTACAGTGATGAGAATGTCAAAAGGAGACCTGACTTTAGCATCAAAATCATGAGTTGTGTCCCAAATCGCATACTTATGCACTAATCTAGGCCATTTATTAGTGAGTAGAACCCAGATGATGCACTTATTCAATCGGTAATATGAAGTGTGTTATGATGGACACTTCCCACACTCAATAGTTGTACCCTTGCTCACGCAGTGGAAGGGGCGGAGCTATCAGGCACTGACGTTTGATTAGTTTATTTATTTTGGATTGTGAAAGCAACGAGAGTGTTTATAGCGCCTCCCGATGGTGAGTGCAGTACCTGATAGCAGGTATTAATGGTAGTTTGCTCATTTATTTCAGTAATTTGGTAACCGTCATCATCAGGGAAACGGGTTGAAATTCCGCTCAGTAAAAAAACATTAGAGCTCCATTTTGGGACGACACTACACACATATGCTGTGCTGATGAGTGTGTAGTGAGCGGTTTGGGAAGCAGTGTATAAGAGTTTTCTCAGTGGTCTGAGATGCTGCAGACTGGCACTGACCAACCCATGAGCTGCTAGCTCAAGACACTCACCAGAGAATTCCCTTTTAACGCTGGTCATGTTGGCAGGACAGGAGTTACTGATGGAGATTCCTGGAGGAGGCAGACCGGGGTTACTGTACATGTCCAGCAGATTCGCAGACACCGGGATCTGCCACACACAGACCAACAGATGGAAATAAGCTACACGGTTTCATCAGCATGTTGGGATTTTGCATTAAAAACTCTGAGTTATAGATGCTAAGATCTTAAACACACCTGAAAAAAAACATGCATGCGAGAGTTATAATATTTGCAGATTAAATATTACATCAGAAATCGGTCATTTGATGTGCATTACCTGCATTCATTAGGTAAGATGGCAACATTTGATAATACAGAACAGGCAGTTCATTCATTCGTTCATTTTCTTTTCGGCTTAGTTCCTGGGGTCGCCACAGCAGAATGAACCGCCAACGTATTCATCATATGTTTTATGCAGCGGATACCCTTCCAGCTGCAACCCATCTCTGGGAAACGCCCACACACACACTCATTCACACTTATACACTACGGACAATTTAGCCTACCCAATTCACCTGTATCGCATGTCTTTGGACTGTGGGGGAAACCGGAGCACCGCAAACTCAGGGAGAGCATACAAACTCCACACAGAAACACCAACTGACACAGCTGAGGCTTGAACCAGTGACCTTCTTGCTGTGAGGCAACAGCACTACCTACTGCGCAACCGCGTTAGCCAGGTGGTTCATGTATTTACTAAAATGATAAACAATTAACAATGCTTGCACAGCGTTTATTAATCACAGTTCAGCATTTACTACATTATTAAAATCAAATGCTGTGCTTGTTAATATAACTGTATTCACAGTGAAATAACATGAACTATTGGATAAATACTTTAGCAAATGTATTGTTTATTGTTTATTAATGTTAGCATTTACATTAAACTAACATTATTACACGGCTGTCTGGAATACCCGATTCTGATTGGTCAGTTGCGACATTCCAAGGTGTGTTATTTTAAGATAACAACTGCTAAATAACATAAGCTCATCCAGGAACTTCAGATCACCGTCAGTGAATACATTCACATCCATATTTATAATCTTGTGTCTTCACCACTGTTTGGCGCCATCTAGTGTCTGAATAATGCGCAGGTTAGTGTATACTCCATCAGCTGTTTTTGACTGTTTGTCTCCATCTAGTGTCTGAATAATGTGCAGGTTAGTGTATACTCCATCAGCTGTTTTTGACTGTTTGTCTCCATCTAGTGTCTGAATAATGTGCAGGTTAGTGTATACTCCATCAGCTGTTTTTGACTGTTTGTCTCCATCTAGTGTGTGAATAATGGGCAGGTTAGTGTATACTCCATCAGCTGTTTTAGTTTCTGTTGTGTTTTTGACTGTTTGTCTCCATCTAGTGTCTCATTAATGCACAGGTTAGTGTATACTCCATCAGCTGTTTTAGTCTCTGTTGTGTTTTTGACTGTTTGTCTCCATCTAGTGTCTGAATAATGCGCAGGTTAGTGTATACTCCATCAGCTGTTTTAGTTTCTGTTGTGTTTTTGTCTGCTTGTCTCCATCTAGTGTCTGAATAATGCGCAGGTTAGTGTATACTCCATCAGCTGTTTTAGTTTCTGTTGTGTTTTTGACTGTTTGTCTCCATCTAGTGTCTGAATAATGCGCAGGTTAGTGTATACTCCATCAGCTGTTTTAGTTTCTGTTGTGTTTTTGACTGTTTGTCTCCATCTAGTGTATGAATAATGCACAGGTTAGTGTATACTCCATTAGCTGTTTTAGTTTCTGTTGTGTTTTGCTGTTTGTCTCCATCTAGTGTCTGAATAATGCGCAGGTTAGTGTATACTCCATCAGCTGTTTTAGTTTCTGTTGTGTTTTTGGCTGTTTGTCTCCATCTAGTGTCTGATTAATGCGCAGGTTAGTGTATACTCCATCAGCTGTTTTAGTTTCTGTTGTGTTTTTGACTGTTTGTCTCCATCTAGTGTATGAATAATGCACAGGTTAGTGTATACTCCATCAGCTGTTTTAGTTTCTGTTGTGTTTTGCTGTTTGTCTCCATCTAGTGTCTGAATAATGCGCAGGTTAGTGTATACTCCATCAGCTGTTTTAGTTTCTGTTGTGTTTTTGGCTGTTTGTCTCCATCTAGTGTCTGATTAATGCGCAGGTTAGTGTATACTCCGTCAGCTGTTTTGGACTGTTAGGATGCCCATGAATATTTCAAGAAGACAATGCAAAACCACATTCTGCGCACATTACATAGTCTTTGCTGTGGATGAACAGGTACTTGACCTGCCTGCCTGCAGCCCCGACCTGTCTTCAATAGAGACTGTCAAATACAAGTCAAACTCAATTTAGAAATCACTACTTTCTTTTTTGTTTGATTGATCCGAGAGTCTCCTCGGCTGTGTTTTGGATCATGGACTGAAGCAGCTGATCTTCATTTACACTGAGGAAGGGTAGAGGCTTGCTGAAGAACTACTGACAGATTTCAGCTGCTGTCTGGACTTTCACTGCCCAACTACACCTTCCTTTCTTCATGTGTTCAACACTTTTTCCCTGTATATATGGATGTCTTTGGTTGTTACCAAATATAATATGTTTTCTGAGAAAAAAGGTGAGGTGTTCAATACTTATTTCCCCCACTGCATATATATATATATACTCTCACACACACACACACACATACAAGTGTAATGTAATGCGTAAATGTCATTACCGTGTTTGCCATCTGAAGTCCGGGGTCCAGCGACAGTCCCATGATGTCATCACTGTAACTTGATTCCAAACCAATGATGTCGTCAATGACATCGTCCATCTGTTGTGAATCAGAAGCAGTGATCAGTCAGCGACGCATCACTCAACAGTCAAAAACACCATCCATCAATCCATCTCCAGATCCTGCGCTAGAGCTGTGCGTTTCTCTGAGCTGCTCTCAAACTCTGCCGGATCTATTAACACTTCTGCCGGTCTGTGTGTGTGTAAGTGTGTGTGTGTGTGAGATCATGACGCAGTCTACAGCAGCTGTTTCACACTGAAGTGAAGCTGCAGGATGATGATGAGCAGATAATGAGATGTCTTTATGATACTGCTGCCTATTTACACATCATTCATTCAGCTGACTGGATTTGGTTGATCTATTGACCTTAGACCTTAGGCTCGAGACTTCCACTATCATTCATTGTCAATGATTGCTAGACTTTAAAAATAGCTTGTTATGCTGCATGAGCTTTTCCCAAAGATGATGCTGGAAGGGCATCCGCTGTGTAAAAACGTGCTGGATAAGTTGGCGGTTCATTCCACTGTGGCGACCCCGGATTAATAAAGGGACTAAGCTGAAAACAAAATGAATGAATGAATATTGCACACTGATATTTCATTCATTCACTCATTTTCTTTGTCCGTTTATTAATCTGGCGTCTCCACAGCGGAGTCTGGCATATACTATTATCATGATAAGGATAATTTTGCGATAGATATCTAGTGTCAGCACTCTCACCTCTTTCTCGCAGTTGGGGTTGAGGGTCAGTAAGGCCATGGGACTGTTGGGGGCGCTGTTTCCCGGCCCCGGAGGCATTCCCCCGTGATCAGATGCCTGGCTAGGACACGGCAAACTCACCGCCTGCTTTCCTCCCAGAGTGGTGGACAGATACGCCTTCACCTGCTGCCGCTGAGCCTGCTGGATGTGGTACTTGGTGGGGTTTTCAAGATGAGTCTGAACCTGAGCACAAACGAAGACAAACATTACAATCACAGGACGTGTGTTTCTCACTTCTGTGCTGCTCTGATGTTGAAACTGGCCATGCTTCCATCCAAAGATATGCGCAAAACTGTTGTAAAACATTTGTGAATTGAGCAGGGTTTCCATCCAACGAGTCCGAGAGAACAAAATCATCACTCCCTGATAAACCGGTGCCAAATATCAAACGAAAAATGAAAGTTGCTGCATTAGTAGAAGGCTATTCTTGTCTGAAGTTTTTTTTCCCTCTCTGGCCTGCTAGGTTCAGGATCGGTAGAGCTACGCATCAATGGATTTGCGCTTCAGTGTTTGGATTCTCAGTAATGACTTTAAACCACACTGAACTGAGCTAAACTGAACTGAACTTAAACACTAAAAACTGAACTACCCTGTTCCAGTTACTATGACCATTTACGTGAAGCTGCTTTGACACAATCTACATTGTAAAAGTGCTGTACAAATAAAGCTGAATTGAATAGAATTTTTTCAGTCACGTATTTCTGCTTAACGTTCCTCCATTTATTACGTAAAACAGTCCACGTTGTGTCGTATCCTTTTAGAATCGTCTCTGATCATCACTTCTTTCCCATATAAAACATATAAAAATGTTTGGACCTCATCGTCTTCCAAAACATACCTGTCACTTTCCACATTTTTGATGCACATGTTGGAATTTATTCAGTAAATGTCAGTTTTATTATTCAGTAAATGTAATTTTTTATCCAATTTAAATTTTTATTACATTTTTAAATAATATTTAGATACATTTTCATCAGTAAATATTATTTTTATTACTCAGTAAATATATTTATTTAATTCAATATAATTTTTAATTACACAAATTACAGATTTCTATATGGTGGATGGCAAAATCATGGTTTTAACAGATGAATGGATGGATGGATGGATGGATCGATGGATGGATGGATGAATGGATGGATGGATGGATGGATGGATGGACGGACGGATGGATGGATGGATGAATGGACGGACGGACGGACGAACGGACGGATGAATGGATGGATGGACGGATGAATGGATGGATGGATGGATGGATGAATGAATGAATGAATGGATGGATGGATGGATGGATGAATGGATGGATGGACCTTTGAATGGATGGATGGATGGATGGATGGATGGATGGATGAATGGATGGATGGATGAATGAATGAATGAATGGATGGATGGATGGATGAATGAATGAATGAATGGATGGATGGATGGATGGATGGATGGATGGATGGATGGATGGATGAATGAATGAATGAATGAATGAATGAATGGATGGATGGATGGATGGATGAATGGATGGATGGATGGATGGATGGATGGATGGATGGATGGATGGATGGATGGATGGATGGATGGATGGATGGATGGATGAATGAATGGATGAATGGATGGATGGATGGATGGATGGATGGATGGATGGATGGTCAGGGAAAATTAGTATATAACAGTATTGAGATATTTTCAGTGGCAATGTTACAGCAATACATGGAAGTCTAAGTTCCAATAAATCCAAGATCAGTTTCTTTGTTGAATTAATGACGGTTCTTTTCATGGCAGAATAATTCATTCCTGAAGTTGAGAAATGAACAAAACAACATGACCTTTATCTACACAGTTCACCGCTCAAACCATGACAAACAGGGAACTGCACAACAGATCACAGCTTTAGTGTAAGCATTACTTCATTTCTCATAACACAGATGATTGTGTCAGGATACTCCTCAGCAAATCCTCAAATATGGGAACAGTCAAAAAAAAAAGTCTGAATTATTCGCCCTCCTGTGATTTATTTTTATTTTTCAAATATTTCCCATATTATGTTTCTCAGATTGAGGAACTGTTCACAGTGTTTCCTCTAATATTTGTTCTTCTGGAGAAAGTCTGATTAGTTTTATTTGGGCTAGAATAACAGCAGTGTTTAATAGTGTTAAAGTCATGTTAAGCTCAATATTATTCACCCCTTCAGCAATATTAGTGTTGGATTGTCTCCAGATCAAACCACTGTTATCCAATGACTTGCCTAATTACCCTAACTTTACCCTAATTACCCTAGTGAAGCCTTTACATGTGACTGTAAGCTGAACACTAGTGTCTTGAAGAACATCTAGTCTAATATTATGTGCTGTCATCATGATGAAGAGGAAACACATCAGCTATTAGAGATGAGTTATTAACACTGTTATGAGTAGAAATGTGTTGAAAGAAAATATAGAGGGGGACTAATAATAATTCAGGAGGGCTAATAATCCTGACTTCAACTGTATCTATTACACTGATTTGACCAGTAAGCAATGCAGCTGGCCGAGTCTAAAAAGCGGGGAATAACTGATTAGCTTTGCACATTGAGCGAATCGCAAAACCAATGCTGTGCCATCACATGCAAAAATATGTCTTTTGCTTTTCCAGAGCGCCTCTGACGTCAGTGTCAGCTAAAAAACAATGGAGTCTTTCTGCAGCAATCGTCTCCCACCTCCATCCTATTTACAGCAGACAAGAGCAGTTTCTTTTTTTTCGGAGTAATCCAACATCAGCGCTAATGGCGTCACAGCCTGACGAAACACGTGTGATCCTGGACACTTTCTGACACTTCTCCAGCTGTTCTCCGAGGAACAATTAAGTATGCATGACGAAACCTAACAATCACCTCATAGCAACACTGCAAATCTACAGAAAACAGGACTGTATAAACAGGATTAGGTGTACTGTGCTAATGTGCAGAACTGCCTGTGTTGGTTTCTCTGAATGATGCGTTGAATTGCTTTGTGCTTTGAGTTTAAAATAAAATGTTGGTTAATTCAGTTGATAATATATCGTCCACATTATTGTAGTTTAATGTTAAAACAGATTTGATATTCTAAACTTTTTTGCTATATATATATATATATATATATATATATATATATATATATATATATATATATATATATATATAATAAAATATATTATTTAATTTATTTATTCATTTGTTCAATTATAAATAAATTAATTAATTAATTTATTTATACAATGATTTACATGTAATAATTGATTTATTTATTCATTCATTTATTTATTTATTTATTAAGTAATTTATTCATTCTTTTATTCATTTGTTTGTTTATTTATTTATTTATTTATTCATTTATTTATTGATTTATTTAGTCATGCATTCATTCATTTATTTTTTTCATTTATTTAGTTATTTATTTGTTTATTTATTTTGTTTATTTATTTATTCATTCATTTTTATAAATGTATTTATTCATTCATTCATTCATTTATTAATTCATTAATTTGTTTTTTAATTTGTTAATTTATTCATTTTTTATTATTGTATTCATACATTCATTCATTTATTCATTTACTTATTTATTAATTAATTAATTTATTCACTTATTTGTTTATTTATTTATTCATAAATTTTTTATTAATGTATTTATTTATTTATTTATTCATTCATTTATTTGTTTATTTATTTATTTATTCATTCATTCATTTATTTATTTATTTGTTTATTCATTTTTATTAATGTATTCATTCATTTATTTATTTGTTTATTTATTTATTAATTCATTCATTTTTTTATTAATGGAATTATTCATTAATTCATTAAATAATTAATTAATTAATAAATAAATAAATATTTATTTATTTATTTATTTATTTATTTATTTAACCACAGGTCGACAGAGAGATTTCAAAAGAGCAGCTTTTGCTTTAAACTGAACAGACTGAATATCTACAATCAAATATCTACTATTCAAAAATGCAGACAAATGTAAAGTACAGTAAAACACCCTTAAAAAAACTGCACATTATCAGGAGACCACTTCCAGGAACAGTGAACAGCTCAGAGCATTCTTCTAAATAGCTTATGCTCTGCTCAACAGACAAAAAAGAAACTCATGAAAACGTTTGGAAAGTGAGTAAATGGTGAATACATTTTCACTGCAGCGTTACATAAAGTTCTTTATGGTGATAATCGGTACAACTGAGAGTTGAGTGTATTTTTAAAAATTGGATGATGTTTAACAAAAGTAAACTTTTCTGGAACATGAGATGACGAAGCTGCACATATCTAAATCTGCAGGTACACATTCAGAGGTGTTTCATCAGGTTTGATTACAATGGGTCTCACATGGGTTACCTTGTGATTGACGTCAAGCCTGGAGCGACACATCTTGACATGCAAATGTGTGTGTGTGTACTTGACACTCTCAGTCAACCTAAACTGTCAATGTACGGAGCATCAGGCTAAACATTGTGCTCCGGTTTGTAAATAAATAGCAAAGTTTAACAGTACAAATTTTTCTACTGCCTTGCCTGAATGTTGGGAAGAAAGAAAAAGAGATGTGAGCTGTAAGTTTAAACTTAAAGTAAAAAGAAAGAACTTTTAGTACATTTCAACACTTTGCTAACATAACACAAACTACTAGTGTGGTCTGACATGCACCTTTCTGACATGTTTTAGCATATGAGAATCATGTTATTGTGTGTTGTTACTGTGGATGTATGTACTGCAGATCAACAAATGCTCTAAAGATAAGCTTCTAGATTGCCATGATGACAGCACATAATATTAGACTAGATATTCTTCAAGACACTAGTGTTCAGCTTACAGTGACATGTAAAGGCTTCACTAGGGTAATTAGGGTAAAGTTAGGGTAATTAGGCAAGTCATTGTATAACAGTGGTTTGTTCTGGAGACAATCCAACACTAATATTGCTGAAGGGGTGAATAATATTGAGCTTAACATGACTTTAAAACTGCTTTTATTCTAGCCCAAATAAAACAAATAAGACTTTCTCCAGAAGAACAAATATTAGAGGAAACACTGTGAACAACTCCTCAATCTGCTTAACATCATTTGGGAAATATTTGAAAAATAAAAATAAATAACAGGAGAGCGACTAATTCAGCCTTTTTTTTTGACTGTTTCCGTATTTGAGGATTTGCTGAGAAGTATTCAGACACAATCATCTGACAA